TTTGTCCTTTTTTAACAAAAAAAAGGAGGAGGGGAAACCTTTTCCCTATCAATTTTTTAAAAAAAAAAAAAAAAAAAAAAAAACAAAGGTTTTTCAAGTCCCTCCACTCATCCTCCTGCTGTGCCATCCTGTCTCTCATAGCAACTATATTACCCTCTGTACTTGTTACCCTCTATTCCTTCTCGTCCCTGGTACACTTTCTACACAGACACCAAGGCTGTCTTTGTACAAACAAATCTGACCAAACCACTTTCCTTCCCAGACACTTAACCTTGAATCTAGAGGCCTAACTTGGCCCTGCAAGCTCTGGCCCCTGCCGGGTCCTCTCTCCAACTTCCTCCTGCTTTCATGTTCCTGCTGGCCTTCTTTCAACCTCCAGAAGACCAAGAACCATCTCCAAATCTTTCCTACCTGTGGGTCCCCCTGGACTATACATCCTCTGTTTTCTTCTGCTGGCTTTGCTCAGAACTGGGATTGCATGTCGCTTCCTCAAACAGTCCCTTCCAGGCCCCTCATGCAAAATAAAATATTCCATTTGATTATCTCACGCGCCTCATGCTTTTCCTGAACTGCTCACAGATGGTGGCACGAGAGTGAGTTGTGTGACTATTAGACTGTAAGCTCCTTGGGGCAGGGATTATCAGAGTTTTGTAAACCCTTGTCTCCCCTTATCTCACACTGTGGGGTCAATAAATATATGTGTCTAATGAACGATCAAGTACAAGCTGCCTCATTTCATCTATTCATTCATCCTAAATGCCTCCAGCTTTACATACCAATAGAGACAAACAAGGGGATTTTCTCCATGATAGCCTTGTTCGGGAAGCTTTCATCACTGCCTTCAGACTCTCCCATACTTATGGGAGTCCCAGGATTTATCATGTGTTTAGGTACCAGTCTGTCTGTTCAGCCTTCTACTCAGATTGTGGTCCATTGCACCACACATCCTCCACTCATTATGTTTTGGATCTGTTGTAAATCACATTTGTCTGCTGGTGAAATGGTCTTATCCTTCAGGATATGGAATCTGCCCTGTAATCCATGTGGCAAGGAGAATGAGAAAAGAGCAGACTGGAGAATGTCCTGCGCCCAATTCAAAAAGGCATTGCTGGTGTCCAGGCTTCCTCACAGTCTCCCATGAACACTGCTTGTGCCTTCTCACCTGAGTCCTCTCTTCATCAGGCAGAACAAGGGATACCAGTCTTCTCTGTCGTACTCGTCTGTCTTCTCTCTGTCTCCTTGGTATTCATTTCTCCTGACACTTCATTTGTGCAGTGATAGCACATGGGGACCCATGGGTGGTTCAAGTTCTATAGTCAGGGTTTACCTACAGTTCGTTCATTAAGCCAGCATTTAATCAGCAAGTGGTGATAAAGCACC